TGCCCAAGCTCGCTGCAGCCTTGAATCCTCCGCTCCGCCGCCGCTAGGCCTCGGGGGGGTCGCCGCGCCGCCCGGTCCTGACACCCCTTCCTCCTCCCTTTTTCCTTTTCCTCTTCCCCTTTTCTTCTTTTTCCTTTTTCCCCTCTCTCACTTAGCGCCGCCGCCACCTCCCCCCTCCCGGGTCTCCGTCGGCGGTTCACGTGGTAACTGAAAAGACCGACAGAGGCAGCCAAAATGGCGGACGCCGAGGGCTTTCCCACCCGGGTCACACCTCGCAACGCGCAGGCGCCGTGACCCGCTCTTCCCCACCCTCCCCGCACCGGAGCCTGCCGGGAAGGCGGAGGCCGGCTCGGCCGGCGGAACCGCTGAGTCCGGGCTTGGCTCTGGCCGGTCCTTCCGAGCGCAGTGCCGGGCGCCTTGGGAGGGCGGCCAACGGCGCTTCCGCCGCCGCCGCCGCCGCCGCCTCCTCGCCGCCAACAGCCTTTCTGCTCCTTCTCGCTAGACCGGCCTTTCACTCTTTGGGGTAGACTCGCCCGAGTTGGTGTGATCGTAGCTGGAGCAGCGGATGCCAAAATGCCAGGGGCGGGGTTTGAAGAACTGTATGTAGTCGTTCAGGGTCCGAGTGCCTCAATTGTGAGCAGGGGCGAAGGGTGAGATGAGAAACGCCTTCGCCTCGGTGGGGACTTGTGAACCGATCCGAAGAGGTGAGGGCTTCAGCGTCTTTGGAAAGCCTCAAAGAGCTTGACCCATGAAGTGGGCTCGGCTGGCTAGGGCATCTGTAATTTTGTTGACTGTGGATAAGATAGCCAGGATAGGTCGTTAGCCAGATCCGAAGTGGCATATTTGTACTGCCAAAGGAGCCTCTGAAGGTTGAAGTGTGTGTGTGTTTACTTCACTGCTGAAGTCATACAATGCAGGGTTGAGGAACAGGCTCTGTGAGTCACCTTGATGTAGTGGAGTTGAGGGTCGAAACTCCTGGAGTTGGCTTCTAGCTTGTGCTTAGGATGTAACTGTCGAACTGCTTGTTGCCAGAAATCTTCAAGCCTTAGAGGCCGACCGAACTCACTGAGCAAGATCAGACCTGAGTGGAGACGATCCCTGCCACCTGCAGACAGTTCATAACAGTTGACAATAAAACCTTTACAAAGTGACATGCTATTGAGTCACAGGAGTCATTTTATCCTTGGTTATCTCGTGCAGACCTTGTAGTCTGTGCATCATGAAGCATAAAGATGTGCGGGAGTTTGGCTTTTTTGAGGCTTTTTTTTTTTTTAACAGATACTTTGTAGTTTTCAAGTTGTTCTTTAACTTCCCTGGTCTACAGAATGAGTTCCAGGACAGAGAAACCCTGTCTTGGAAAACCAAAAGAGAGAGGGATTATAGCAAACCCTAGGGTCTCCTTGAATACTGGAATCTCTCTACATTTAGGGAAATTAGGTCGGTGAGATGGCACCGTGGGCCAAGGCCCTTACTGTGCAAGCCTGACAACCTGAGTTTGCTTCCAGAACTCGCATAAAGATGGAAAGAGAAAAAGGACTCCACAAAGTAGTACTGTGCCCTCCATGTTGACACACATAAGTAATAAGTGAAGGTATGGGGCTGGAGAGATGGCTCATTGAGTAAGAGCCCTGTTGCTCTTGCAAAGGGCCTGGGCTGGGCCCCCAGCACCTCATATGGCAGCAGGTGTGCACAGGATGCACATGCATACATGTACAAAAAACGCTCGTACATACAGGATAGAAGAAATTCCAACACATACAAAGACACAAATAAATAGCTGTTCTGCGAGTGTATGCTGTTGGAGCGCGAACCTGGTGCCTCATGCCTGCCAGACAAGCACTTCTACCACTAAGCTAAGCTACACCCACAGCACGAGATACCAACTTTTGCTTCTGAAATCCTACACATAATTTTTAAAATTGTAATGTTTTCTTAGCATGTTAATCATACACAATAATGGTTTTTGTCATTTTTCATATATGTACATAATATATTTCAATCTTATTCACATGCATACATAACTTTTTCCTCTCTTGTCTCCCTCTGCTACTGTTAATCCCCTTCCCACTAAATAGCAGTTTTGCTTGTTTGTTGGTCTTGCTAAGTAGCCCAGGCTTACCCTGAACTCACTTCCTCCTTCTCTGCTTCCCAAATGCTGAGCTTGCAGACATAGTGCCCCATCCAAGTCTAAGCAGCAGGGTTGGGGGGGGGGGGGGGAACTTTCATTTGTTTTTTATGAAAATTTTGATGTTGCCAGGCAGCGGTGGCTCACACCTTTAATCCCAGCACTCAAGAGGCAGAGCCAGGCGGATCTCTGTGAGTTCGAGGCCAGCCCGGTCTACAGAGCAAGATCCAGGACAGGCACCAAAACTACACAGAGAAACCCTGTCTCAAAAGACTTTGATGTTTGCGCGTGTGTGTGTGTGTGTGTGTGTGTGTGTGTGTGTGTGTGTGTGTTCAGAAGAGAGTGTCAGATACCATGAAGCTGGAGTTACAGTAGTTGGAAGCCACCCAGGTCCTCTGGAACAGCAGTCAGTTCTCTTAGCTGCTCAGCCATCTCGCCAGGCCCAAACAGCAGTTTTTAAGGTTCAGTGAATACTGGCCTGGTTGCAACACTGATTCATTTCTGAGTTAAAATGCCCCTACAGATAATAGTCTGACCACAGTCAATGACAGGATTGCATGGACTCAGTAATAAACTGCGGACTCTGATCACACTACTCGACAAATAGAAATTGAACTGGAGCTGTGCTTGGAGTGCTCCCCGTATTTCCAGGAAGTCACAGCCGAGGCTGTACAGCACTGCAGCTGCTCAGGGCCTTGCAGCCTTCCCGTCTCTGTGGTTAAAGGGTTTCCTCCAGCTGGGTGTAATGGTGCACACATGTAATCTCAGTACTGGGGAGACTAAGGCAGAAGGACTTCAAGATCACGGTAAGCCCAGCACTTAGGAAGATGGTCTTGAATGAGAGACCAGAGGCCAGTCTGTGCTTGCATTTGATAGAAAAGTGACATTAAAAAAGCCTGTCACCCACACTTAACAAAACAACAAATAGTCACGTTTTTGGGATGTTTAATAAAAACTTATGTATATAAGAAGCCATCCTTCTTCAGGTCCTGAATTTGATCTATGAACTTACATATCTGTGGTTTTTAGTTGTTTTTTCTTCTTTCAATTCTTGTTCTTTACCCTCTCCCTTGGACATATCAGTCAAATAAGATGTTTCTTCATGGGAAAATCCAGGGCGAAAACTTGTTTTCTAGCTGCTAACTCAAATTGCCCTTTACCTAGGTCACAAATAAGGTTTTCAGCATTTAAACTCAGAACATGCTATAAATGGATGTTTAAAAAGACATCTACCAAACTATAATACCTATTAGCTCCTGGCTAGGTTCTTTTCAAAAAGAGTTTCATCTACAGCTGCCTCCTCCAACTATAGGGGTCCAGTGAGCTCCAACATGCTGAGAATGGTATACTCACACTTCATTGCTTTCCCAGATTATACACCAGTAAAAGGACACAGGGATCAGCTTTCCGAAAAAGAACAAAATGGACCTGTAGATCCTGAAGTTAGGGATGTGCTTACTGGCTCAGGACACTCTGACACACGATGGCTTCTGTCTCAACTTGTTGAGGACCAGCAAAAGCTGTGTCAGGACAAGCTCTGGCGGTGTGGTCTAGAAAGTGTATACAACTGACGCTTTGCTGAGTGGACAAGAAGCCAGGAAGCTGAGAGCCAACGACTGACTCAGCGCATTAGTAGGCTGGTTTGCTAACTTGAGCATGAGTCCAGGAGGCTCAAACTAGGTTACAAACTAAAGTAACTCACACTTTTAGTAATATGTTTAGCCACGATTTGCGTTTTAAAGTGAGCCACAAGCACAATATAATTATTTTGCCTTTTATCGGTTTTCTCTTTTGCCCTCTTGTTCTTTTTTAGTACATTTATTATTCATTTAGTGTGAGTGGATGTATATTTGTGCGCACATGTGTGCTTGCCAGAAGAAGTTTTCTTCTGGAGGTCAGAAGAAAACTAGTAGGAGACTGTTCTCTCCTTCCATCAAATGGGATGTGGCAATTGAGCTGAAGTCTTCAGGCTTGACAGGAAGTGCCTTTCCTCTGGGTTAGCTTCCTGCTCCCACCTTTTTTCTTTTCTAAGAGGGTTACTTATACTAGTCCAGGCTGGCTGGTCTGGGACTCACTATGAAACTCAAACTACTCTCAAAATGGAGGACTCCTGCCTCAGCTTACCAAGAGCTGGGGTTAGACATGAGCCACCACATTCTGCTAATGACTTTTTGTTTTAATAAAAAGATTTTAAAATAACAGAAAAAATGCTAATACTTATTTTGCTATTAAAGTGGACCTAAACAGCTGGCTTTTTTTTTTTTTTTTTTTTTTTTTTTTTTTTTTTTTTTTGGTTTTTTGAGACAGGGTTTCTCTGTGTAGCTTTGCGCCTTTCCTGGAACTCACTTGGTAGCCCAGGCTGGCCTCGAACTCACAAAGATCCGCCTGCCTCTGCCTCCCGAGTGCTGGGATTAAAGGCGTGCGCCACCACCGCCCAGCTAACAGCTGGCTTTTAAGGTAGGTTTGTGTCCTCTGCAGGCTGGAGAGATGGCTCAACTGTTAAGAGAGCATACTCACCTAACAAAGACCTGAGTTTGGTTCCCAGCACCCACTTGAGTTGGCTCACAGACCCTTATAACTCCAGCTCCAAAGAATACAATGCGCTCTTCTGATCTTCAAGCCAACTTCATTTATCTACCCCACCATCATATGCACACAGAATTAAAAATAATAAAACCTTTACAAAGCAAAAAGCATGTATTATCTGTTACCTATGCTTTTTTAAAAAAATTTTATTTATTTATTATTTGGTTTTTCAAGACAGGGTTTCTTCATGTAGTTTTGGTGCCTGTCCTGGATCTCGGTCTGTAGATCAGGCTGGCCTCGAATTCACAGAGATCCACCCGGCTCTGCCTCCCGAAGTGGAAGATTAAAGAAGTGAGCCACCACTGCCTGGCTACCTATGCTTTTTAAAAACATGGTCTTTGAACACCAGGTAGAATTAAGAATCCAGTGAAACAGAATCTCAGTCAATTCTGCAACATAAAAACCAGCTGATCATGGACTGGAGAGATGGCTCAGCAATTAAGAGTTCTTGATGCTCTTGCAGAGGACCCAGGTTTATTTCCTAGCACCCAGAGCACATTGGACAACTCAGAGTTGCCTGTAAGTACAGTCCCAGGGGGACTCCAGCACCCTCTTCTGGCCTCCAGACATTTGCAGTCACTGTCATGCACGTGACAAACAGACGCAGACACAGACGTGAAAAGGAACATGTTTAAACCAGCTCATCAGCCAGGGTGCTCCACTGCCTCTGACCTTCACTGGCACCTTCCAGGCACCTGTGCACATATACATATCACAATGTGAGCCTACACACAAAAATTATAAAAGTAAAATATTACAAAACAACCGATTAGTACAAAGTCTTGAACAGACAAACAGGGTATTTACTACTCCCAGATAGTTCCTAAGCTTCCAGCAACCCTAGAGGATAGGTTTTATGCTACAGATGTAAAACTGGTAAAGATTAAGTAACAACTAACAATCATAGTAATGAGATGTGGCAGACACAAATACTACTTGAGACACGACAGTTTGGGTCCTGTTCTACATAGACACACGTGCTTATAGGCAGTCCACCTTCTTAGGTGGGCTAACAGGACCACTATGTCTAGAGTCTGAGGACCACACGTGGTTCCCTTTGCCATCTGGATTCCCTTCCTGAACCAGTCAGAGTCTTTCGTGTAACAACTACAAGAATTCTATCAGGGCCTGGTGGCAAAGGTCTTATAATTCCAGCTTCTCAAGAGGCTGAGGCAAGAGGATCAAGTTCATGGCCACCTGGGCAACTGAGTGAGACCCTATCTCAAAAGTAAAAAAGCAATGTGGGGATATGCAGCTCAGTGGTAGGGCCCTTGACTAGGATATAGGAAGCCCTGTATTCCCTCCCTAGTGAATAACAAGAATTCTATCTCACAGGATTGAGAGTCATCAAGTAATCTTGAATATAAATGGATTTTGGCAACTGTTAAGAGGTCTTTGCAAATATTAAGTTCCCTTAGTCGACAAGTTTGTCTTTGAGAC